GTATAAACTCTATTTCAGAATAATCATACAGCTCTTGTTAATAAAATAAAGCTCTTCTTGTAGAAAAAATGTCAGCTAGCAGGATCATTTTTCAACTCAATGAAATGATTGATTTAGGTAATCAATGGGCAATCACTAATGGGTGCTAAAATAATCGAGAGAAAGATTGATAGAAAACTGAACATTCACACAGGGTCTAAGTACCCCTTCCTGGTACTTGTGCAGTTGCTCATCAAAAGAGGAAAAACATAACCAAATGTGACCACCTCAAACCTGTAGTCAGTTATCATCATCAATAGCAATGTGTTGTCTAATTCACACCAAGCAGATATTAGGTTTATCCTCACGTAATATGACATAAAGTACATAGCATCACCTATGAAATATTCTTGCCAAAATGTTTAACCTGAGTTTCATGAAGGCTTTAAGTCTAATTACTAGTTTACATGAAATTAAACATGGTAATTAGACTTAATATGTTTTAGGGGCTGTTAGGGGACAGAGGAACACATTAAATGAGAGCAGGGAGAAGCAGTCAGACGAATGCAGTAAGTGGGACACTCTAACAAGTAAATCTCTGGCAAAGATAAAGAGGTTGTGATAGGAAATCAATTCCAGTTTAGACAAACAAACTCTATGATACATTTTGAAAAAACTTAAATGTGGACTAAATATTAGATGGTGTTAAAGAATTGTTAATTTCATCAGGATTGATCATGGTATTGTGATTAGGTAGGAATATGTCTTTTTGTCGGAAATGCAGCCTGAGATATTTAGAAGAGAAATACCATGTTGTCTGTAATTTATTTAAAATATCTAAAAACAAATAGCTAAGACAATTTGAATATAATACTAACAATAATTAAACTTGTGTGATGAGCATATTGAGGGGGTGGGTCATTATTTTATTGTTTCTAGCATTATTTATGAAAATAAAAAATGTTTCAAATTTTTTATTTAATGAAAGCTAAAAATTAAAATTGAAACAAAGAAACAGCAATTGGCTATGACTTTCCTGGGCTCATTTTCCTATCCTGATGGCCAGGAGAGAGTAACAGCTGAAGCAGCTGCCTTGAATTCATAAGCAGAGAGCTCCAGTTGGCAGAGTCTTGCCAGCCCTGGTCCACCAGTGCTAAACCACCTGCCTACCCAAAGAAAGATTGCTATTATGATCAAGTCATTGAAAAAAACATTTAAGAAAAAATTAAGTGTTGCAAATTTTTAGAATATATTGAGATGGTATTTCTACCATAAATCTCCGAAGTCCTACTCTCCCCTCATACACCTTCGAGACTAAATCTTAGACCTTCTGGGACATGCAAGAGTGGGAGCACTTGGAATGACTCAATGCAACACTGGAGCGTCGTTAATTCCTAACAAAAGTTGCTGGAGAGTTTCTTTAATTTACCTCACTAATGATCAGATGAACTGCCTCCATGTAGGTGGCTTATAAAACAGAAGCGAAGCTGGCTTGAGGACTCAGTGTCAGTGATAAAATTTTACATAAATATCTTTTCCAAACAGTAAATTCTGTCAACCCTGAAAAAGGGGAATTGTCATAACTAGAAGTATCTTGGTCTAAGACAGCTGGTTTTTTTTAAACATGAATAAAATACATGTGTAAAGTATCTTCTTGGCAGGGGCCTGACTGGCATAAATTTCTAGGCATAGTTTGTAATGAGTGGTGGAAATGATAGTTAAACATTTCATTTGTTTGGAAATTTTTCTCAAGTCTATCATTATAGGATCACTTATTTGGTGCTATAAAATTTTTATATTTTAAGAAGTGTTTGATGTGTCTGACTTGTAGTAATGTTAACAGCCGCCAATTCTCAAACAGCATGCCTCATTTTTAATGTTCAGTTTGCTTCATGAGTCCTTGTGTCAAATAATTTTCTGGGCAATGATTATTCATTAATACAAATAAACATTAGATTATAGGAAGAGTAAGCTTCCCATGAAAACCCAAGTTATTATCAGATCCTAAAAGCAGTAATTAAAAACTGAGCAGGAACCTATTCCCAGGTAGAATTGTAAAGTGGATGACTCCTGCATTAAGCATTCTCCCATTCATTTTTAGAGGCATTCAACTTTCTCACTCACTTCATTGCCATCCGTCTTTCCCAAGCCCCAGCTGCAGTCTAGATATTCAGAGCTTCTTAGCCCGTTGCAACCACTCAGCATTGTTTGGAATCTTTCTGAATGTCTCTTTTGCTTTTTACTCAAACTTTCCATAATCCAAATGATGATTGCTATAGAATTGCATCAGAAGACTTCTGAAGACAAGTGATTTGACAGCACAGACTCAGAATTCTTAGGTTACAGTGGCAAAATCCTATGGGCATAAAATGAGTTCATGTCTGTCATATGCTACTATTTGTTCAGCCTTACTTTGATCTACTCACAAAGTAATTCATCCTCTATAGAACTGAGGGTGCAAAGGTTGGTAGTGGGTTAAAGAGGAAAGTGAAATCAGAAAAAAAGAAGGGGTTGATGAGAGCATATGCAGATTGAAAATAAACTTTTTCTTAGCATTGATTTTCATTTAGTCACAATACTTTTATTTTCAAATAACATTAAACAAAAACATAAAATCTTTATATTTTCTAAAGGAGAACCAGAGGAATAACGCACTGTTCCTAGTCAAAAGTAATATTAACAGGAATATCTAGACAGTTTCAATGTGTTTATTTTAATTAAATGATAGAGTTAGTTGCAACTAACCTCTTGCTATATTTCTCCCATTTCAAAATAATTAACTATTGTAGCTAAAAATTGTAACTATTTTACTTAGCTGTCTTTGGCAGCATTTGAAAGTGAATGCAAAATTTCTGGACAAAATAGGAACAGACACATGGGCTAATATAGGAATATATACAATACTGTTAACTGTCCCAAGATTTTTCATTGATTACCTCTTCCATGGTGAAATTTCAGGCATAAAATTGGTTTGGGTTAGTACAAATTCTGTCCCAACATATACTTACCTGTAGTTTTTCCTAATAAATCAAACAAGCTCATATTTATGGTGACAAACATATTCTAGATTCATTATATCCATAGTTGCTAAAAATTTAGTTCCATGCCTTGGTATGATATTAGAATGTCCATGATAAGAAAAATAAGTCTAGCAAAACGAGGGTTTTTTTTTGTGTGTGTGCGTGTGAATTTAATTCCCTTCCTTCTTTTAAATGTTGAAATAAACTCTCCCTTTATGAAACAGTGGTAACAGTAGATGGTCAGTGTTGTAATGCGTGTTTAATGTTTTAAATGTAGCAAAATAAAAGAAATGCCACGCCTATGTTAGTGTTCTATTTATTTTCCATTGAAGAAGGACAGATTTTACTTATTTAAAAATATAAAAGTCTGAGACCAACTGCTCCATATTCTTTAAATGTTGTTATTTCTAGGTGACTTAATTAGACTAGAAGAGAAAACAATTGAATGTCAAAGATGCTTTTTAAGTTGTAAACTTTTCAAGTTATAAACGACTTGATACTGTTTTCCTAATTAAAGAGATTTCTGAATTGAAAAGATCAGAGCTCCTGAGTAAATTTAGAAAGCGTTTTTTTTTTTTTTATTTTTTATTTTTTGTCATTTACAGAAAGGGGCTTTAAGAGCCTATGTTCCTTTGGCTTTAAGAGCTCTTTGCTATAACTCCAGAGTAATCATTTTCAGATTAATAAACTGGAGTTCGTCTTTAGAATTACCAGTTTTTCTTTTGTTATGGAATCTGAGGTTAGCCAGAATCCATCTGCAGAACATAGGTAGAAGGGAGAAATGCCTGACAATGTGAGGCAATCCTTAGTTATGTTAATACATGCAATTAACCATTTATACACACTTAAAAGCAGACAGCTGGGATGATGGTGTCTGCTACAAAAAACGTGTAATGAAATGTGCTTTACACATTTCATACAATTTTTCATACAAAAATTCCATCTTTGTATGAAATTTTACTATCCTTTTCATTTACTTCTTAACTCTCCACCTTCCTACTCCCTTTAGAATGCTTAGTTTGAAGACATGACAATTCTTTATTTGGTCTGTCTCAGGAAGGGGGGAATCTTGTTATTTTTAAGGACTAAAAATAGCATTATAAGATTTGTTTTTATTTTTAAATATGAATATCGATTGAAGCTCTCAAATTAATCAATATCGTTGCCAAATTTTGTAAAATGCACTATCTTGGCCCTCTAATGATATCGTGCTAATATAAATGTGAAAACCAACCTATCAACATGTTTTCAAAAATACTTTTTATAAAAAACAGTACAATTTTGTGGTGTGTCCAAATATTCCTTTCTTTCTTACAGGATATTATTGGATCTGTCCAGTTTATAAATATTCCCTCCCTCCCCTCCTCTCACTCTCTCTGCAATTTTTTGATGTTTGTTCTTTTCTTTCCGTTCTCTAGTTTAGTTCTTATTAATTGATTCAGTGGATGACCTTTTGTGCAACATTATTCTACCTTAACAGCCTAGCCAGGGCCTCCGCGCCACCCAGTTCCAGCAGTCTGGTTCTCCTGCGACCCCAAGCCTTTGAGATCCCTGGTTTTCCCTCCTCGAGACTGTCACATCGTTCCCCGCCAGAGACGCCAGTCGCCTGCCTCCTCCCTGGGGTGTGAGCAGGTCGGCTCTCCACACCGATCTAGGTGGTCGGACGCGCGCCCAGGGAGGAGCAGGCGGAGGGGCCCAGGTTGTCCCAGCTGCCGCGCGCCAGGGGATGTGGTTGGCCCAGAGCCTGGAGGCCAAAGGTGGGCGGGCAACATTCCTAGCGCGGTCTGGAGGAGAGGTACATAGGGCCAGCGTAACGACACTTGGCGTGCGAGCTGCGGCTGGGATAGGGGCAGCCTTTTCCAGCGGGCGCGTGGGTCACCTGGGAGCGGTTCTTCGGACTTGGTGCGTCAGAGGGAGGCTCCTGGGCGCTGGGTGGGGCTGGGCGGGGCTGGGCGCAGGCGGCGCTCAGGGGCCTGGCACCCGCTCGCCTCAGAGGCGTGGTCTTGAGCCCCTGTTTCTGGCGCGTAGAGACTGTAAATCACTGCACTTCTCACTCATCATCACCCCAGCTTTTCCTAGCTCGAATTCAGCCTCCAAGTCACGGTCGCAGGAAAGTACGCTAAGGGGAAAAAGCATCTGTCCCTGGGCCACCTTCTGAGCGTGGTGGAGTTCGCTTGGGGTTTGCTTAGGGTCCAAGAAGCAGAGAGGACAGACCCAGCCCTCACAGAGAAGAGGGCTGGAAAGTCCTGGAGAACCCGGCAGGGGAGGGGCCGCTGTTGCGGTTGGGAGGCCAGGGTGCAGCGCTGGGGTAGCAGATTCCGAGATCCGTGAAGGTGCCTGTCTTGGTTTCTCGCAGTAGTCAGAGGCTCCCTGCTCTCCAGCCGCCCAGTGACTCGACTCAAGCCTAATCTTCAGCACCCCTTGGGACGACCTTTTTGATGCAAACCTCTGATTCTGTTTCGCAGGATCCTCCCCCACCGGCACCAGAAAATCTGACAAGAACTTGAGGTGTCAGCCCTGAGTAGTGAGACCTGCGGTCTGCGGGACAGCTGTGCCTGGAGGAGAAGGACGCTGGTGGGGCTGAGAGCAGAGCTGTCTTCTGGCCCCGCGGCCCCCCATGCCTCTGTCATGGCTAACAGTTCTAGGGGCCGGAATGGTCGTCCTGCACTTCCTGCAGAAACTCCTGTTCCCTTACTTTTGGGATGACTTCTGGTTCCTGTTGAAGGTGGTGCTCGTTGGAATTCGGCTGGAGAAGTATAAAAAGAGAGGGGAGCTGGTGACTGTGCTGGATAAATTCTTGAGTCATGCCAAAAGGCAACCTTGGAAACCTTTCATCATCTATGAGGGAGACATCTACACCTATCAGGATGTAGACAAAAGGAGTAGCAGAGTGGCCCATGTCTTCCTGAACCATTCCTCGCTGAAAAAGGGGGACACGGTGGCTCTGTTGATGAGCAATGAGCCGGACTTCATTCACGTGTGGTTCGGGCTGGCGAAGCTGGGTTGCGTGGTGGCCTTTCTCAACTCCAACATTCGCGCCAATTCCCTCCTGAATTGCATCCGCACCTGTGGGCCCACGGCCCTAGTGGTGGGCGCAGGTAGAGTATGGGGTGTGGTCTGCTAATACAGAATAGCAACCCATCTGCTTTCCTCCCCGCTTTTTTTTCTGTAGGATAATTCATAACTAATACTTTGGGTGAGTGAAGTGTGCATGTTAAAAGTACAAAATAGTTTTATGATTCTGTGACTGGTGGCTTAACACCTACCTCCTCCTTTCAAGCACATACAGTTTCAGAAAACTTTTATGAAATCTCTACATCCTACCATTTTGAGACAGGGACAGTTTTACTGCCATTGGTACCTTTAGTGAGTGCAAGAACACATAGAGAACTTGGTCAGTTCTAAATTTTATCAGCTCTGGCAAAACGATGAATAGGAAAGTTATCTTCATTGTGGCACACCTACCTACCTCTAATTATACTTTATCAAGGATGACTACATTTGCAGAACAGATTATGTTTAATGGAAAATGCATGAATTCCTTTCTTCGTGTCTGCTCTTATTTTATAAAGTCTGCAAGCTAGGACTTACCTGGCAAGATTGCCCTCTCACCTGTGAGCCAGAAGGTGGGCTCTTGGCTGAATCTAGGTCCCTTTCTATTTCTTCTCCTGATCCATCCATGCATCCTTTTCTTTTATTCACTAAGTTCTACTCTTCCTCCTCCCCCTATGTTGGAGTTAGGACATCTTAGGCTACACATATTTACACTGGACTGTAAATAAAGTCTGTGGTTTAGTGGCTAATTAGTAAAGAACCTAGGAAGATGGGTTGTTTAAAAAAATAGAATTGAAATAAGAAAATTGATTCTTATTTGGTATAATCTAAATGGTTTATGAAGATTCTTCTTGCATGGGGAAGAATGGTGCAGAAAGAGGAAGTGCAAGGATCCCAATGAAAATATTTAAATATATTAGATTAATAGGTACATAGCCATACCTCATATAAAGTTTTTAGACTCACAGAACAGTATGGAAAAATATATCACCGATGAACTCTAAGGCACAGGCCTTTCCAAATAACCTTTATCATACAATATTTGTATATCCAACAAAAATAAGTTAGGCTGTATACAGAAAGCAGGCTATCATTCAAGGCTATCACTTTTCCTAGTTCTTTTCAGTTCAACTTATGGTCTGATAAAGTGGCAAATGTTTATTCTTGAGCACTGATTTTAAGCTTCTTTGCACTACAGGAGGAAAGGTTCTAGGAGCAAATGTAAACTCCAAGTTATGCTAATAATTGATAAAGCTATAAGTTATGTTTAGAAGGGCCAACAAAGAGGGCCCCAGTATACCTGAAAGATTTCTATGGCCCTGGTGTTGAGGCCAAAGAAGCATTCCAAGGCTGCTTTCCTGAGAGATTCATCTTAAAGAACATAGGACTGGTTACCTCTCAGAATAGAGCATTCAAACTTTTCTGTTGATCGAATTGTTATTTAACTACGACCAATTAATTCTGCAGTTTTGCCCATGTCAGCTTTTACTTTGCTTGCTAATAATTAATTGCATTGTTTTCTTATTTTTGTTTTTAACACCAACAGTCAGTTTTTGCATTTAAAAAAGCCACTTTGAGATGCTGAAGTTTTAAACCAGACTATTTAGTTGATTGGTTCAGTAAGTAGGTTGCTGGAGAAGTGAACCATTCTTTCTGGCATACTTTCAAACATAAATAAGATACATGTTGTCCAAAGACTGAAAAATTCTATTTTAATTAACAGATTTTATAATAAGATGTACCTTAGATCAGAATCACTTTTATACTTAAAACACTGTGTTGTTGGCATCTGGAGTTTCCTTGGTGAACAATATATACATATTGTTTTTAGCACATTAAAAAAAGATGAATCATGTGGCTCAGACAGATAAGCCAGACAGACCCGACTTTCATGTATGGTCTGCCACCTCTAGCTGTGTGGTTAAAGATAATGTTGTCAGTTACCCTGGATCTCACTTTACTTAGTTTTAAAATGGTGATGATACTAGCTGTTTCACAGTGTAATTCTGAGGATTAAATGATACACCTCCCATATAGTGGCTAGTTGAGTGCCTGGAATGTACTAACTAGATCTTTAGTGAATTTAAATGATTTCTATTATGATTATAGAGTAATCCTGGGGCTTTTAACAAGGGATCTCATTTGGATTTTGCTGCTACAACCTTATTTGATGTTAGCTGTTAGAAAGAGTAGTATGTACAGTCATGAATCACTTAACGACAGGGATAATTTCTTAAAAATGTGTTAGGTGGGCCAGGTGCGATGGCTCACACCTGTAATTCCAGCACTTTGGGTGGCTGAGGTGGAACAATCATCTGAGGTCAGGAGTTTGAGACCAGCCTGGCCAACATGGTGAAAACCCATCTCTACTAAAAATATAAAAATGAGCCAGGCATGGTAGCAGGCACTAGTAATCCCAGCTACTTGGGAGGCTGAGGCAGGAAAATCACTTGAATCTGGGAGGCCGAGGTTGCAGTGAGCCAAGATTGTGCAACTGCACTCCAGCCTGGTGGATAGAGCGAGACCGCCCCCCCTCCCCCCAAAAAAAGAAATGTGTTAGGCAATTTTGTTGTTGTGTGAACATCATAGAGTGTACCACGCAAACCTAGATGGCATGGTTTACTATACATCTAGACTCTGTGATATGGCCTATTTCTCCTAGGCTACAAACTTGTACAGGCTATTACTGTACTAAATATTGTAGGCAATTGGAACACAATGGTGGTAAGTATTTTTAAGTGAAAACAGAAAAGGAACAGTAAAAATATGGTGCTAGAATCTTATGGGACTACTATTGTATATGTGGTCTGTCACTGACTGAAATGTTATTATCATCACTATGTGTTAGCAGTAAGTTAACGGCAGAGTTAGGATTCAAGCCCATGTTTCTCTGATACCATAATGTGTATTTCTCACATTCAGCCTTGCCACCTCTCTAAGGAGGCATAACCTTTCTTTACATTACTTTTGCTCCTGACAGTATTCAAGCATCATTCCCTTTCAGTAAATACATGTTCAACAGATACTATAAATAAAAACCCCAGAGTCAGTGTCTCCATGACAGTAAAGAGGAAACCATGTACGTATCAGTGCTTAGAACACTGCCTTTTCTAGCTACTGAACCTTGAAACCATTTAAACTTCCTATTAAAATCAATTGTTTTCTTTTGTAACAGAAGTAACTGTTGACCGAGCTGAGTCTAGGAATGAAAAAGACAAAAAATAAATGCCAGACAGCCTATTCTACTACATGCAAGTAGAAATTTAGAAATGTCCTGAAAAGTAAAATCGATATTATGTATGGACAGCATAGTATGTGGATAAGATAATAAAAGTTCACATGAGCTTTGTATTTTATCTATCAGCATACATAACACTTTCTATAAAACATAAAAGAGGCTGGGCATGGTGGCTCATGCCTGTAAACCCAGCACTTTTGGAGGCCAAGGCAGGTAAATCACCTAAGGTCAAAAGTTGAGACCAGCCTAACCAACAGGGTAAAAACCTGTCTCTACTCAAATACAAAACTAGCTGGGCATAGTGATGCATGCCTCTAATTTCAGCTACTCGGGAGGCTGTGGCAGGGGACTCTCTTGAACCTGGGAGGCGGAGGTGGCAGTGAGCCAAGATTGCACTGTTGCACTCCAGCCTGGGCAACAGGAACGAAACTCAGCCTCAAAAACAAAAATAAAAACCTGTTTAAAAAGGCCTTTATTTTTCCTCTGACCTTTAGTCTTTAAAAAGCAATTGTCTTTATGGTTAAAAGTCATTTGGAGGATTACAATGGCTTGGTTGTTAACAAGAACATTTGTCCTGTACGGTTTGAATGTAACAGTTCATGAAAACTAACAGTGCAAGGCTGCATACATTATTGTGTGTTTATAGAGAAGACACAGGATTCTTACTTATTATGAAGAGAAATCTGAAATCCTTCAAAATATGTTGAACCATAAAATACTATCAAATCTAAATTGAAAGAGTTCAGGAAAATTGAATAGTCTTTTAAAGTTCTCTGTTTATACTTATAATGATTTAATATGTGGTATATTAAGAAAGAATGAAGAACAAAATATACACTATATATACAGGTAAATCTGAAACCTTGTGGGTGCCTAGTATATCTAAAGCACTTTGTACCTTTTGGGAGTGATGATTAGTGACACTGACATCAACATGATAAATCCCAACCATATTGCCACCCTCAAAACCAGTTACAAAATGAGCAGTAGAGAGTTGACAACTTTTTGCAAAAATATGCAAGTAAATTAAAAGTTACCAAGTGTTCACGTGGATCTCACAGTTTTTATTATGTCATTCATTCACTCATTCATCCAGGTAATAAATATTTGTCGAATATTTCCTTTGTGCTAAGTCCTGAAAATTTAGCAGTGAACAAAACAAACTTCCTCAGTTCAAGAGTTTACAACTAGTTCTTGAACTATTCCTCAAGGCTGCATCAATATCTGTTTGTGAATTGGCTAAGAGAACTTTATGATTGCAGGGAGTCACTGTAAATACACATAGAGCACCTGAGGCAGGTGAGCTCAATGGAAAAGGCACTGAAAGCAGATGGATAGAGAGAAGGTAAGAGAGAACAGGAAAGGGGTGGGGGAACAAGGGAGAAAAGGAGAGGGGAAGGGAGAAGATGGAGATGAGGGAATGAGCAGGAACAGAAAGGAAGAAAAAGACGAAGGTAAACCCAGCAGACTTTTATGATTTTGCATGATTTTGAAAATCTGGACTCCAGTTCCCATGCCACCTTGCCTAGATGTGTGAGTTTGAGTAAATTATTTCCCCACTATAACTGGGCTTCCCTCATCCTTAAGGTTAATATTTACCTCTCATGGCCATAAGTGTGTATCACCAAAAATAACATGTAAAAACATTTTGTAGTCTGTAAGTTACTTTAAAATGGCAAGAATTCTTATTTATCATCATCAGCATTATTATTATGACTAAACATGCCAAAGGATATAATTGCATACAAATTTTAAATGATATAAAACACCCCAACATAATTCTGTTTGTTCCAAGTAAAGATAAAA